TTTAGGGTTTAGGCTTAGGGTTAAGTTTCTACGGTTCGGGTTTAGGGTTCTGGTTTAGGAGCATACATCAGGGAACTCGGGGATATTTGGGGAACACAAGGACCTACGAGGGCTGAGGCATAATATTGGGATGATTTTGAGAAACCCTTATACAGGCTGCTCAATAGCACCCTTCCTGCCAAGGAAAAGATAGCCTTAAGGGCCTGCGCGAGCTCAAACACTGGATTTCCAGATTCCCCGGCTGATGTAGAAGTCCTCTTGGTTCACATGTTCGACAACTCAGTAGCCAACCGTGCTCTATGAGGCTTAGATGCTGGCTTCTGCAAGCCAAGGGTCAAGACAAAATCATCCTGACAGTTCTCAGCTAACCTAACTCCCCCAAACTTCAACGCAACCTATGATTTTGAACAGGGCATCGCCGTCCTAGACCTTTCCTAGTGGCGAAAACCCAGGCGCAACACTTCCCAGTGCGGAGCGTGTTGGAGTCGAATTTTTCCGGTTCACGTGGCCGCCTGGAGGGGAAGTTGGCTGAGGTAATGTTCCGAGGGTTTAGGGGGTTTAGGGTTATTAGGGTTTAGGGTTTTGTTTCTAAAGTCTACTTTGGGGTTTAGGGTTTAGGGGTTTCCATGAATTAGGATTACAGAGGAGGGATTATGTAGGGAAATCCAATGCCTGGAAGGGGGTTGTAGGGGATGTATAGGGTTTCGACGAGCATAGAGCGACTCATAGCATCTTTATTGCCACGAAAAGCACCAGCAGCACCAGCAGCACTAGCTTCCCGTACCAAGCAGAAAACACCAGCATTTGTAGACTTCCTGCGGTTTCTGATATTCTTGACGGCCCCTGTGCATGAAGGTTTTTGAAGTTACCCTTGATGCATGCCCAGACGTCGAAAGCACAGGGTAGGAAAAGCAACTACGTAAGGAGTTCCTATGCAAAGGGTAGTTTGCAACAATGTGGAGAACCACATAAAATAGGCCCTACAATTCTTTGTATTGGGACCCCCGAATAGTACCACTAATTTTGGGAAACCTTTCAGTCTCTCAGGAAGAGAAGGACCAGGTGGTCGAGATGCTGAAGCAACCCTTCGGATACCGAATAGAGGCGGCAAACCTTTCAGCACATGAGCTATAGTCTAAACTCCCTAAATGGGGGTTATAGGGGGTGCTAAAGGGGATACTAAGAGTTTAGACTATAGCTCACATGTATCCAACATGGTGATAATATGGCGTCTCATCTTTTTCCGTTTGCACTACTACTGGCAATATTGGAGCTTTTCTCAACAATGTGGGTCCGTTGTGGGAACTCCTACGATGAGAATGAGCAAAGGAACGCTGTAGGCTGTGTGAGCGGAATAACTTAGGAGGACCCCCACCTTGTAACAATAGTATAGTAGTAATATAAGAGGACTAGAAGATAAGCACATTATGCCTATTTATGCCCTATAGTCCCTATTACTGGGTGGGGGGTCCACCCAAGGAATAACACAAACCAAGGCTTGTCGAGGAATTTTACGGCAGAGGGGGCCGACGGCGGAAGCAGAAACAAAGCGAGTCATAGTTTTGACGGGGAGTGGTGCCTGGACCCCAAAAGTAGGTTAAAGAAAGAGCCCAAAACCCCTAAACACAGCCCAACAGACCATTATTCTGCGTACTTTTCGGGTTCAGAAAGTGGCTACGCTAACCCAGGTGGGGAGAGTGACAGTGGCGGTAACGGGAGTAGCTATAGCCCTGGAGACCTGCTTAATTGACATTCGCACGGCATCAAGAGTGTAGTGGAGGACGGGTCATAATTACAAAATAGCTCAGTAATACGGTGAGTCTAATTACAGCAAGGGAAGGCAGATCATAATAACCAAAAAGTTATGAATAAAGCGCGTCTAGTAACCCCAGCGCCTCAAGTTATTCAAGCCAAAAGCTAGGCATAGGTTTCCTATGACAGGGGAAACTAAATCCCCGTAACTATAGCCCCATGACCCCAGTTTCCGCATTTTTCCATGATCTTTTCCATTTGGTTCTTTCTTATGGAGGGGTAGAACCTCCATGCCCCCGCTTCTTAGTTACCCCTAAACCCGAAACCCCTGCAGCTCTCTCCAAACCCTGTAAGTGTACACCGGAAGGTGGAGCCCACGCACCAGGGGCGAACCTACTTCGATAGGCCGCATCCTCACAGCTGGGGGCTGGGGCTTGGAGTTGTGGGCTCCTGCTTAAGGTCGCCGGAATTAGAGTTTAGGATTTAGGTGAGAGATACCACCTGGAGACTCACATGGTTTGGGGGCCATGTTGGTTCTCATTATACCCTATAGAATCAACGAAGGAGGGTAAGGGGCGTCTCACAACTCTGGAGCATTTGAAGGAGGTTTTTACCAAACTGATCCCAGGAGCTCACGGTGATGAATGATCAGGTTTTAGGGGTTAAGGGTTTAGAGGGCTTGCTTTGATGATTGCAAAATCCCCCCCCTTCAAACAAATCTAGGTTACATCAGCAGTGAGCATGTCTTAGTTTTGTGGAGTGCATTTGCAGGGTCACGGGACTGGGTGAGTAGAGACATGACCCCTGAGGACCCAGCTTCAGTCTCCCCATTGTTTACCTACTTGCTTAGTCCCCCCGGCCCCTCAACCCTAAACCCTAATTAACAATTTCCATATTGTTTTCCAGTACCCTATATAGTTCCTATATGCCCGTATATAACCCTAAAGGTTTCCATTTTAATTTTCCATTATCCCTATAGAACCCCAATATAGCTCCTGAAGCTGGGACCCATACAAGAGCCAAAGCCTTCGCCAGCCTCCTAAGCCCTAAGCTCTTCTTCCCAACTCACCTGCAGGCTCCCTGAATACTTCAACAATTTAGAAAGTTCTTGATGGAAGAAATCAAAGTGGTGATGTATGAGTTCCCTCATCAAGGTCGACAGTATGTCGTAACAGCAGTCCCTCTCCCCAAGTTTGCCCGGATCCACTTCATCTCAACACGTACTTTAAACACGCGTTGCTGCAAACAGCTCAGGTTCATCAGCATCGTCAAGGTGGCGCTGATGGAGGAGAACGCTGCCCATGAGGCTGGTGCAGTTGGTGTAGACCTCCCTTCTCAACTACTGTACTCAGGGCAATTCCCTTCCCCTGAAATGGAACCCCCAACTCTCCCCATATCACTACAAGTTTGCCATCAGTAGTATGCTACTGTCAGTGCTATGGGACCATGGCCTTCCACAACCTATAATATGGGCTGCTGGAAAGGAACCCTATATCCCCTCAGCCTCCATTTCATTTTGCATTTTCTGTTCCATCTGATTCTGTTATACGCGGATAATATAGCTTAAGTTACGTTCCCTAACAGCAACCCAGTAATGTTGCGCAATCACCATCCCCGATGCAAATACACGGTGTGGTATGTTGGGGGAATTAAGGTTTAGGGTTCAGGAATATTACTATCATTAACGGAGAATCAAACGGAAAAGAAAATGGAACATGAAATGGAAACTGGGGTTACATAGGCGTTTATAGGGTCTTAGGGTAGTTCCCAGAATTAGGTTCCCATTTGGTACCCCCAAATATTGCTGCCGCAATATAATATAGTTTATAATGAAAGGGGTCCACAATTTGAGAATATTCCATATTATGATGGTTCGGTGACACCTCATCATCTAAATCCTAAAGGGAGTACCGGACGATCGCCAGGTGATTTTTGCGAACTCAGCTGACGTCAAGAATGACATCTTGCTACTGGGATGCAGGGCAGACCCTCCTGGAAGCAGCATCCATATAGTCCAGAATAGAGCTAAGATTATATCCTTCTTCTGCGTCTGCTGTTGGACGGATCTTCTCAGATTTGCTGCTAGATATTGGCCAGAAGGTGCCCATACAGGCCCTTAAAGCCCCGGTCGATACCTTGCGCTGATGTATAACCGCGCAAGTGGCAAAACCCTGCAACAATCCTGGGCCCATCTACAAGTATTTGTAGTAACATGAATGGTAATAGTAATAGTAGCAGTAGCATCAGCGTGAATAGTTCTGCTACTCTGCCTGGCTTTGGAGGAAAGGCGGCGCCCGACTTCGAAAAGCCACCCAGATGGGTCCAGATGTTTTAGCCGCAGAATTGATCCTGGGCTTGACTTTATACCCCTATATACCCCTATAACTCTATATAACCTATGTTATGGGTGTAATATCAGGGATCACTAAGCCTTAAACCCCGGGTTTGCTTGCTGCGAGTTATGCACCGATAATACACATAAGCGGTTTCACAGTGGTCTGAAGTTTACAACTTCATGTTCACAGTTCAGGCATGGCAAGCACGTACGTTTCACCACGGCGACATCAATCCGTCCTATAGATTTCCTGAACCCTATAGTCCCCCTTAAGTAGGTAGAACATGGGGTATATGGGGATCTGAGTATAATATAGCACCCAAAACCTTAGCACCATGGACCCTAAACATTAAACGGCTGCAGTGCATCTTGCAATTGGTGCAAGCCTGACGAAACGATTAATGATGCTCCATGGAGTGGGCGCTTGTTGTGCCGGAACTTGAGGGGAGCTGAAAGCCTTCTGTCTATCGTAGGTTCGTGTACCAGCTGTTGGTTATAGCCCCCCTTAACTAGATGGAATATGGCTTTGGGTATAGTAAAAGAAGATCCCCATACACCCCATATTCTATCTACTTAAGGGGGACTATAGCTCTAGCCTCAAGAAGTGAATTTGACATGGCTAGGGTAGGCTGGTTGTGGTTGTCCCTTTTCCTGTGGCTAGCTGCTTTACTGGGACTCCGGAACTGTGCCTGCTTGGAGCGATCCGCGTGCCGAAGCCTTTTACCCCAAACCCTTACGTGACTTCCTTACTGCCTTAGGAAGTTCTTCACGGAGCAGCTCGAGACGCAGCCTGGCATTGAACCGCGATAATGTAGGAGCCTGAATGAATGACTTAATATATATGTATATATATATACAGTCTAGCAAATATAGGGGTACCCTTTTGGGATCCGGTCCCCCTATTCATGGAATCTACCATATTTGTCAATGGAGCAGCGTCAAAAGGAAAAGACAAAGGAAGATGAAATGGAAGTTGGCTATATACAGGGGCTCATAGGGATGATTACTTCGGGCCCTACGTAAGCCAAGAGCGAAGCTCAAGCAAGCCCTCCGGGTGCTAAGCTCCTTTTGAGGCCCGGTCAGGTTTGAAAATTAAGAGGCCTCGCAGGTCAGGCAGTGGTAATTACTGGAGGGCAGGGCATGTAAACTGATGAAGACCAACCCTAAACCCTAAGAAAAGCTCCCTAAACCCTCAACTCTAAGCCTCTGAATTCTTAGCTTGGGACCTGTTTGGGTTGAATAACACTCAGAGTTGACGGTTTTTGGAAATTTGGGGACAGGGCATCTCATGCTCCTCACCAATTGGGAAATTCTGGAAGCCTTCTTCAATGTTGAGGACATGATTACATTCCTTAAAACACAAGGTTATGCAAGGATAGCAGCATAACTTTCAGCAGGCCCCATGTAGACCGCACTTCGGACGGGGCAAGAGGTCAACAGCTGAACCGGCATTTCCAAGCACGTCCCAACAAGGAACCATCATAGCAGCTGATAGCAAAGGAAGACCTTTGTCCCAGTAGCCTGGGAGCAGTATATTGGGGTTATATGGGTTATATAAGGGTTATATGGGGTTATACAGGGATTATGGGAGTAGATTGGGGTTATATGGGGGACAATGGAAAATAAAAGCTGCATGTGTTGAAAGGAAGACCTTTGTCCCAGTGGCCTGGGAGCTGACTCCCGAGCCTGTGCGCATGGGATCCATGCCGACGTTCGAGGCTGCGCAGAGGGCCGCCTGGCGCAACCTACGAAAACACAAGGAAACACACACTGCCTACCATGCGTACATGCGTACATGTACATACGTTTAGGCGACGGGTGCAACTAGCATGAGGGTGTGGGAGAGGGAACGTTTCCAAACATCATGGTCCCTTTTGCTCACGCTTGCGCTTGGTGTATGTCTTTGGGGCACTGCCCTCAAGGAACGCATCAGATGACAGGTGGAGTCCACCAGCGTTGCTGTTGGTTTAGGGTTTTGTCCGGGCAGGAGCTGGAATCTTTGCAGCCATCCCACGTTGTTTGGGTGACTCAGGATTTGGTCTCCTCCCTCATGCAAGTCTTCCTCGAGGACGCAGCCTCTGTCAGTGCTCAAATCTTTGGAACCTCTATATCCAGACTGGTGATGAACGTGTTCAAAGGTTAAACAAATTTGGCAAAGGGTTCTGGTTACCCCAACCCCAAATATGAGGACCCTAAACCGATCTTATGACCCTTGTAGGGTCCGCAGTGTAGTGGTTGGGAATTCCAAGATCCTCTGATTACTGACGCCCTAACCCCTAAACTGCCCACAACATCTGGGAGTATGTGGGGGGGAGGTTCTCCAAGATGGCATGGCACGCGTTCCCGGACAATGAGCGTGCGATGTAACTGCCACGCACAAGGCATACGTCCCACATCCTTAAACCTGGCTGTTCAAGTGAGCCAGAGTTTAAACTCCCAGTATCCCCCTTAATAACCCCTATAATACTCCCCTATTCAATCCCCTATATGATATAGCTCAAGTGCTCCCAGGGGACAGAAACTCGTAGGCTCCCCCATGACTGGCCTTTGGTTAGCTGGGAATGAAGGAATGGAAAAGAAAATGGAAGCTACTATCATGGGTTATATAGGGACTAGTATAAGGATCCATTCCTTCATTCCTTGCTAACCAAAGGCCAG